GGGAACGTAGTGGCGCCTAACCAGTTAGACACAGCTCGCAAGCTACTGCATGATCTCTTCACCTGTGATTATCGAGATTGGGGTTCTTTTCCCGAATGGGCGTGGTTCAATAGTGACTTTTTAACTTTGAGGAGAAACAAGCGTTACTGGCAGATGTGCAGTCACAGGGATAGCTCACGTATGCTGTGTTATAATATTTGTTTTCTTGCAGCTGCATGCCGGAGCTCGCCAGTTCAAATAATAAAAACTATACGAATGGCTGCATCTGAGGCAGTTAAGCTTATAGAAGAATATAAGGATCTTAATTTAAAAATTATTCATCTAGTCAGAGATCCAAGAGGAACAATGAATTCTCGTCAGCAGAAAGATATTGCTATGTGGTGTGGTAAATACAAAGCTTGCTCATCGCCTAAAACTTTCTGCAATTTAGTAAATGAGGACTTACGTCATGCTTGTGAGCTGCAGAAACGTTATCCAACTAGGTATACTTTAGTTAGGTACGAAGACTTAGCTTTAGATCCACCTCAAACTACTGAAAAACTTTTTAAATTCTTGGATGTAGGGCCTGTTCCCAGTGAAGTTGTGCAATTTCTAGAAACTCATACTCAAGGCAGCTCGCATGTCAGCACAAATTCCTTTCTTCAGCCTCCCTACAGAACGGTGCGAAATTCGACTCAGGCAGCTTTAGAATGGTGTCGGAAGATGAAGCTCAAAGACATACAAAATGTTCAACAAAACTGTCATTTTGTTTTTAAGAAGTTAGGTTATAAAATGGTTAACAACACAGTAGACTTAAATGCCGAAGATATTATGGAAGAAGCATTTCAGTTTTGCTATCCTTAATTGTCAAAGTGAGTCTCTCTGACTTTGAAAACTTCTTGGAAACTTGTTATATTTATAGATAACAGATTCCGAGTGATGCTACAGAGCGTCATCTTTTTATGCTTATACTTTAAACGTAAAAGCTGCTATTGAACATTGTTATTGTGGATGATCCTAAGTCTTGTCTTCCCTTTTATGGAATTTGATCCCTTCTATTAAGCCATTTCGTGTCCAAAGGCTGAAATGTGATGGGACCAGTTAACTTTGAAATGGCATATAAATAAAGATTTTGATCCGGTTTTTGTCTTCAAATAGCCATTCCAACTAGATGCAGTACTGCAACATATTTCGGCTAGTGAAATGACGTGTAATTTTAGAAGAAAGAAAGCTGTGAGATTATTAGCTACAAGATGAATCTTGACATATCTCTTAATTTAAATAAACAGTTCGAAATATTATGCTGCTTACATATCGCTGATTTTTAAGTTTTGAATATAGATATGACAGTTAGTATTATACACATCATTAAAATTTAAAAGGCAATATTTTTAGCTAGTTGTTGTTGCATAAAATTACAGATGTAGCAAATGTAGTATTATGGAACCTACCTCTGTTATATTGAGATATAGATTGTCTTCAGTATTAGCTGCATTCATTTTTAGAATAAAACTGCCAACTAAATGTTATCAAATCGCATACATTGCATGGACTGGATAACATTTTCAAAGGATGCGATATCTTCCATATTGCTTCCCACCGTTTTAAGTGATGTCGAATCATCCAAGTGCCCATATTAAGCTTGTTTCTAGAACTGATATACTGAATGTTTGGGCCAGCAAAAAAGCATCTTAGAACAACTATTTATGACATTCTTTATTTTTCATTACCATGTACATCATGTTTTACAATGCAGATTTTGTTTTATTGCCTCAGCTAGTCGAATTTTTTAATGTTGTATTGCATTTTGTTGATTATTATCTTTTTAGTGTAAGTTACGAAAGTGAACAAGTTACAGATAGCTTCCATAAGAAAGATAATTTAGCAAACAAATGCAATTTGTGAAATTTTATGTCGGATATAATAAAGACATTTTACTAGTTCAGAATTTATCACGGAGAAGTAAACATAAACTTTTTAAAAAATTTATGACTTCAGCTTATCTAAAAAAGCATTTCCTTCATTAATCGAATTAAAATAACAATAATGCTTAGATTTTTCAGACTAGTAAAATAATATAAATATAGTAAATTTCATACGATGCTTGTAACTTCATATTAACAAAAAAAACTGTATATGAGTCTCTAAGTACACTTCTAGTACTGATTCATTTGATTTCCTGCCAGTTTCGAAACCTCTGTGTAAACCTATGAAGAAGTGGTTCAAAATGATTCAAGAGCTTATAAAGTTAAGAGTATGGAGCAATTCTTTTTAGAGCCTTTTTTGTTGTAAATAATTTAATTCAAACGTTTTATGAAAAGGTGCAAAAACAAGGGTTTAGATTTGGCATAACAATAATATTTTAAACCCAAAGTTTTTTTTATATTTTTGCTTACATTCCTAGTACTTTAAAGTGAATTGAAAATACTTTTTATATAATTAATATCAATGATAAAATTGAATAAAAGTTATATACCTATATGTTTGCTCATTTATGCAGGCATTATGGTAATGTTTTCATCGCATAACATTTTACTGTAATAAATGCAACTCCTAACATAGAATATGCTTTTCAAGAACCTAAAATTTACCATTTGTCTCTAACCAATGATTTCTGAATTTTTTATGTATGTGACATTCCATCATAGCTTATCATTCCACATTGATTTAATCATGATTGTCAAGCGTTAAGTAAAGCTATGAAAAAAATGTAGCTGTATATATATATATCTATATATATATAGATATATATATATACAGCTACATTTTATATATATATGCAGTTGAAAGAGTTAAAAGGTAGTGGAAGAATACTTTAAAATGCACTGCCTTTAAAAAGTTAAACACGCAATGCAAATTAGCAATTTTTGAAAATAGTTGAATTCAAGTGGCAGAAAATTGCTGCGAATGCAGATGACTGTATGCAAATAATCATATTTTACAGTCAGTCACATTTGACTGATTCTGACTAATTCGGCAGTCGTAGAAGGTGCCCACATACTGAATGAAGAGTTTAAGAAAATTCATTTAAATGCTCATAAAACGTGTTTATAACTTTTCTAGAATAACCTTGACGACATTCGATTTTCTATGCCCGAAAGAAGATAAATGGCAGATAGTGAACACTCGCATGCTGGTAGAAGCATTAAAGTAGAACAAATTATAAGGTAGTTCTCCCGCTTTCCTAGCGTGCCTTCGTGGTGTAGTGGTCAGCACAATGAGCCGGTATTCTAGAAATGCGTGGCGCGATTCCCGGTGCAGGCGGTTGCTAATTTTTATCTCTCCGGCTTTTCCAAAATTAACCTAATGTCTCTACAGTGGCGCCCAAATTAAAAGGGTGTTGGATGATGATTCTCCTCACCCAGGATTTGAAGACTAGGTCCCTTAAAACCCTAGTCGCCCTTTAAAAGGGGGAGTATATAAGGTATTTCTCCCGCTTTCCTAGCGAAGCTTCGAAGTGTAGTGGTCAGCACACTGAGCCGATATTCCAGAGGTCCGTGGTTCGATTCCTGGCGAAGGCGGTTGCTAATTTTTCATCTCTCCGGCTTTTCCAAATTAACCTAATGTCTCTACAAGATAACCAAAAATGTCGTTCTTTTCTTCGGTAATGATCATTTCGAAATGTTTTGAATATAGAAACATTTTCAAGCAAGTCAGACAGCTGTCCAAAGATCTGCGCAAGGTCGCCCAAGGATTGTCACACCTTCTGAAGATCGGTATATTGCTGAAGGGACTGTCCACCCGCGTTCCAATATTTTGCGTTCCTTTAACCGCCCAGGCCCACCAGCGGCCGAGCGGTAAAGTCGCTGAACTTGGTAGTTCGGTCTGAGTTTCGAATCCCGTGAACGGGCTGGCTGCATTCGCGTTTTCATAGTTTTCCCCATGTGTAGCCTGTATACGAGCCAGTTTCCCTTAGAAGTCCTCCACGAAGGCATCCCTTCCCTTAGGCAGATAGCCCTAGTGTGCTTTGCTGTGATCTCAATAAACAAAAAAAAAAAAAAAAACAAAAAAAAAAAAAACCCTCTAACCGCCCACTTTAGAGGCACAAGTTCTGTCGTTCATCATCTCAGTTGGACTGCATCAGACTGGTGTGACATCCTGCTCATAGACGTATCTATATTCACCCTGGAACCAGATGACAAGCATGTAAGGATCTGGAAAAAACGAGGCATATAAAGTCAGGTTCAGAACATCATCGAATATTAGGCATTCAGAAGTGGCAGCACCATGGTGTAGGCTTGAATGGGATATTCAGTCTACGCCATGGTTCCAGGTGTACATTTTTAAAGATGATTCTTTGAAGGTTGCTTGGTATCTGAATGAAGTCTAACACACAATTGTGGTACCCTAAACTGCAGCAATTGGTCCTGATTTTCTCCTTATGGATGATAGTGCTCGTCCTCATCGAGCCAACATCGTTAACGAATACCTGGATAGTGAGGGCATTTCTTGTGTAAAATGGCACTCGTATTTCTTCTGACCTTAAATCCATTGAAAAATTTTGGCATTCCCTCAGACGTTCTGTCTCTTCATATTTAATTCCTCCATTCAGTTTTAGACAGATGGAAACAGCCCTAATTGAGGAATAGTCATTGCTAACATCTGCGATGGTTGATACCTCATTGAAATCATGGGCAATTGCTGTAAAGTCTGTGTAAAGACCCGGAGGTTACATAACTTATTAGAGTAAATTTTATTTGTTTATAGCCTTAAGTTTGTAGCTTTTTAATTTGTTAAGGACCCAAATACGATGCCATCATATGATGTAAAGAAATCTAAAAGATTTAGGATGAAGAGATATACAGTAAATGCCGACGCGAACTTTCGTAACGCGATTTTGCATATCTGAGTTACCTTAGTTGTCTCCATTTAATATGTAGAACGCGAGAATTTCGGTTATATGCGGTATGCCGCAGAGCGTCGACTGCATTGCGATAGTTCTCTTTAGTGACTGGTTTGACAAATCATTCGTTAATGAATCAAGCGTTGCTTAGAACAGCAGAACCTGAATTGTAATGTTCTCCTAATTCTCAATAATTCTCCAGGACACGGTACTGAATCCCTCACAGTATTTTATCTAAACGTAGAGGTTTTATTCCTTTTACCGAACATCACTTCCTTAATTAAACCAATAATTCAGAGAATCATAAAAGCATTTGAAGCCTGTTATGCCAGGTATGCTTATATCTCAGAAAATGAAGCACTAGATGAAGGAAAGCATGACACCCTACCGGGATTTTGGAAGCGATTCAACATAAGACACTACATAGAAATGATTAAACTCACATGGGAACAAGTGAATTCATCAACAATGAATGCATACTGTCATCAGCGTTGGCCATAAGTTGTCAGCAATGTTAAAGTTAGATTAAAATACCGTAGATTGAAAATGAAGCCAAGATAAATTTGCAAATGAAAACTGCACAAATCAAGAAATCGTACAAATGAAAAACTGGTTGATCTTATAACACCGATGATGGTGAAAGCAATGCTAGTGAAGACGATAATAAGTCTTTTACATACAAGAAGTTAAAACAAATTGTTATAAAAAAAGGCATAGGAACTGTTTGCAGTGAACTGAATGTTAGGAAATGTTTGTGCTGTTGTTGCTGTGACTTATTTCCCTTTTTTTTCGCTTATTACGAGCTCCGCCCTAAGCATTACACGGAAAGGGAGGGATGTCCCGTGGAGGTCTTTTTAAGGAAAACTGGCTCGTAGCCACGTTACACATGGGAAAAACCACGGAAACGCCCATGCAACCAGCCCGTTCGCCGGGACTCAAATCGCGGACCAAACTACCAGTGTTCAGCGGCTTTTACCGCTCGGCCGCTGGTGGGCCACTTATTTCACTTGTCGGACAGTAACATCAGAGCAAGCCCACGAAATTCATGGTGGCAAGGACAGCAAGATTGCGCCTGTCGTTGGCAAGAACCTTTCGATCATTTCTGCTCCCAGGTTTGAAGGAGAGCACCGCCGGGGGGGACAGGTCTGAGGTTCTCCCCCATCTGCTACCAACCCTCGAGAAGACTTACAGTCTCATTTAGAGCGCCCGCACGCCACGCAAACACTATACATTTATAAACATCCATGCCTTCTCCGGGATTCGAACCCGAGCTCTTCAGTATTGCAGTAGGTTACCCTAACTACTATACCGTCTGGGCTGTGAACAGCTTGTAATGAAGAATGACCCACATGAAGAAAGAAAAGCACAGATTGAGATGTATGGAGAAACTTTGCACTTTTTACCGCGAAACGTTTAATGAATTGCTTCAGACACTGTACCAAGCAAAAATCCCCAATTATTTAAAAAAAATTTGCACCACGTACCTACTTATTAAGCAGTAATAGAAATCCTTCCAATTAACATTTAACAAAATGTTAATTTCATTTCCCCCCTTTAATTATCATTGTATTTAAGCTTGTATTACTTTCTTAATCTAAAGTATACCTAACCCATTTTTCTTATCGAAAGTTGACTTCACGGAATGCAATTTTACCATATGCGCAGTGTGTTAATGACATAATCTTCGCTTTCATCAAGGTTTACTGTATATGCTTTTGATTCAAGCCTTTTTGAATCGTCATTCTAGATTAAGAAGGGTATAATAGTATTATTATAACACTATTCAATGATGAGCATGGACAACCTAAATTTTAAGATTCATGATTTAGTTCAGTCTTTGAGCTCTGAAAAGACCAAATGAAGCATTAATTTTCCATCATTCTTCACTCATTTTTCTCAGTCAGGAAACTGATTCACTAAAACATTTCAACTTGATTTCCTTTCCACTTATTTAGCCACTATTTCGTCAATTCTCGTTTTCGTCCAAATGTTTTTATAATATTACTACCATTTTATATGTGTCATACAAACCGATGAATTTACGTAATTGCAAAATATGAGCTCATTAACCCATTGTTTTGCATCAGACACCATTTTGACTTTGCGTGTCAGATATGCAACTGCACGTATCTACTTTGAAGTCAATAATTACCAGAAAATTTAATTTACTTTAAACTCTATAAGCCATGTAGTATATCACTTCTAACATACTTTCAAGCACTTTCAAGCCCACTGTATCTTGCCAGTGTTACCTATACCTTCATGAAAAGCACGATGATTTTGTTTTAATTCGCTTACTTGTATTTCATAGTTATAAACGGTCTATGATGTCTAAACAACTGAAAAGGATCATTTTTGACCACTTCTTCCCGCAGATTTCTCACTTGATTAAAATTTAAAATAATATTTTGATTTCATTTTGACTAACTGCAAGAGAGGTATTTTGATGTACAAATTTTATTTCGTGTTATTTTCAAAATAAATTATTTCTTTTGCAATAACAACCTCATTGCAAGAAGAAACAGAAAACAAATTAAAATTATACGATTTCTATCAGAATTATGGAAAATATTCTAATAATACTCTAGTATTCGACATATAACAATGAGTAATTAAAAGCATCTTTTATCTTTGTCATTTAGCATTTAAGAATAGTACTCAAGCAATGTTTTGATTTCATATTGTTTTATGAGTATATGCGTTTTTACAAATTAACTACATCTCTGATAACAGTTAGAATTCTAGGTTGAAAATGAGATATTGCTCATTTATGTCAAAATATAGTTCATGTCCTTAAATGCTAATAAACTTTCATCACATATATGAATGAAAAATTCCTAGAAACAATCAAATAAGATAACAGAAGAGTACATTTCTCTTAGTTATTATAGTTTAGTTCTAGTTATAATAACTATAATAAGACTTATAATAACCAGAACTGCAGTTTAGTTCTAGTCATTATAAGTCTTGAAAATTGTTTCAATTAGGTATTCAACAGTTGTTTTGCGAACTGAATCAAATACTTTTAACAATCCGGATATTGAAAGGTATTTTGTTATAAATACCTGAATAGCCTCTGAAGTTGTAAACAGTATACAATATAACACTTTCTATAACACGGGCAGTTCTTTTGGCTAACATAAAAAATGCTCCGCAAATGTTTTTTTAAAATAGGTAAAGTTAATCCGTAGTTTTTTGTCACGTTGCATATCCTCCATTTTTCGTAACATAAATTCTTCATACATCTAAAACGGTTACAGCCGAAAACATCGCGGCAAAAACATCGCAGACGAAAATGTCGCGGAGAAAACAACGCAAGGCGAAAACGTTGTGGCACAAAATATCGTGGGAGAATATAAAGCAAAGAGAAAACATCGCTAGTTCTAAAACATCGTGGTAAAATATCGTCGTTGAAAACGAAGCGGTTCAAAAATTTCGCAGTTTGAAAACATCGTCGTCGAAAATATCTTGGTAAAAAAAAAGTACCTACAAATCATAGCATGACGATAACATCGCAGACATGCGTTTTTCCGCATGCTTTA